GGCGACGCACAGCAAGACGTGCAGCAGCATCGCGGGTGGCCCACTGAGAGCGGACAGTGGGATCAGCATCGGCAGCAGGAGCAGGAGAGGCGCCAGAGGTGAGGTCAAAGAGAGAAAGGCTGTCAGCTCTGTCGCACTGTAAGAAAAGCTGCAGGTCGTCTAGCCAGACCTCAAAATCAATGGCGCGACCCTCGGCGTCAAAGGCTAGGACACTAGGGGTGGCCATGATGACGACAGCGAAGCAGTGCAAGCAGTAGGGAAAGAGGGCGCAGTGACAGAGGGACTGTGCTCACCAGGCAGGGCAGGCCGTGCAGCTCGACAGAAAAGCAGAGCGGCGACCGGGCGGCTCGGGTGTACAGCTGCTCAGCTCCCGGGCGGCTCGGCGGCAGGGCGGCTCGGGTCCCGGGCGGCTCGGCGACGGACGGCTCGGGTGCAGGGCGACTCGGCTCCCGGGCGGCTCGGCGACTGGGCGGCTCGGCTGCCCGGCCACCCGACTGCTGCAGGTGAGGCGGCGGGGTCGCGTAAGAGAGCCGGGGCAGGGCCGCGAAGGGGCCGGCGGTAGGGCCGCGTAGGAGCCGGGGCAGGGCCGCGTTGGAGCCGGCGGCAGGGCCGCGCAGGGGTCGGCGCAGGGCCGAGCAGAGGCCGGCGGCAGGGCCGCGTAAGGAGCCGGCGGACAGGGCCGTGAAGGAGCCGGGACGGGGCCGTGTAGGAGCCGGCGGCGGGGCCGCGTAGGAGCCGGGGCAGGGCCGCGTAGGAGGCCGGCGCGGGGCCGAGTAGGAGCCGGCGGCGGGGCCGCGTAGGAGCCGGGGCAGGGCCGCGTAGGAGGCCGGCGCGGGGCCGCGTAAGGGGCCGGCGCGGGGCCGCGTAAGGGGCCGGCGGCGGGGCCGCGTAAGGGGCCGGCGGACAGGGCCGCGTAGGAGCCGGGGCGGGGCCGCAATGGAGCCGGTGGCGGGGCCGAGTAGGAGCCGGGGACGGGGCCGCGTAGGAGCCGGCGCGGGGCCGCTTAGGAGCCGGCGCGGGGCCGCGTAAGGGCCGCGTAAGGGGCCGGCGCGGGGCCGCGTAAGGAGCAGGCGGCGGAGCCGCGTAAGGGTCAGGGCGGGGCCGCGACAGAGTGGGCGGCGAGGCCGCAGGGGAGAGGGCGACTCGAGGGGTCGCTAAAAAAAAAAAACCGCGCCTCGGGGCGCGCTTCGGTGGGCCCAAAAAAAAATCGGTCCTGGAGGGACCTAGCTCTATACCATGTGAAAGAATGAGAAGAGGAATGGAATGACTAAGTCAGAAATTGGTACAAATAACAAACCCTAGGAATCTGTACCCCATATGTGCTACCCCACTATAGCCTACAAACATGTATCAGCTATGATGTTCTGACATGTATCGCAAATGGTACACCTAGAACTGTTGAAACCATTTCAATCGATTAAAAATGTGAGATAATTGTTGTTTGGGATTTGTTTGATGACGCTCGTGTACGCAGAAAAAATAGGAACAAAAATCATCAATTGTTCTTAATGTGGAACATTGTTGCTTTGAGATATACTCATAATAATTGTCAAAACAAACAATTGTCAATCAACAATAAGAACAGCGCAATATCAAGATTGCAGCTACCTCTTCGTCCAAGTGATGCCATTGGTGTTCATCGCAGTCAAGGTTTTACTTTTGCAGAAATGTTGACATCGTTGGACACAACGATAAGGTATTTGCACTTTTAACAAATGAAAAGTATAAGATTCTTGCACATGATTTACATTTGTTTGCAAGATTAGCAACCCGTGTAGAGCAACCTTCAAGGTACGCATCCTTAGATCCCAAAAAGATCGCTGGTTTGCATGCATGATTGTGCCTATATTGGCTGTAGAGTCCATATCGTTGTGAATTTGGATACTACTAATGGTATCGCAAATGGTATACTTGGTGTCAGAACATATTTTATATATATTTCTGAATAAGTGCATGTTGTTCTAGCTATAGTGTAGTTACCTAGCTGTCCTTTTTGGTGGTGCACCACTCATTGTATGTTTCTTATCTATTTGTACTTGCAATTCTATAAAGAAGCCCTCTTTTGCACTGGCATCTCTCTCGACACTCTCTTGCCTAGCATAAACCCTAGGTTCCTTGTCCTCAGTTATGAACCTATTTTGACATGCTATCAGAGCACGTAAGATCATGGCCTGATACTTATTAATTTCCTCAATGGGCCCACCGTTCGCTTCCGCTGCTGTTCTTTCAGTCGCGCGCCCCGGGCGCGTGACTATTTACCTGCCTGTCGTGCGCCCCGGGCGCGCGACGTTTTTTGCCCGCCACGCGCCCTGGATGCGTAGCGGTTTTCTGCCCTCTGCGCGCCCCACGCATGCGGCGGTTTTCTGCCCGTCGCGCGCCCCGGGCGCGCGACGGTTTGCTGGCACCCGTGCGCCGCCCCGTTCACCCGCGCGCCGCCCCGCTGCACCCGCGCGCCGCCCCATGCACCCGCGTGCCGCCCCGTGCACCTGTGCGCCACCCAGTGCACCTGCGCGCCGCCCCTCTGTAGCCGCGGGGCAGTTTCTTCCCTGGCTCTCCCTGCTGCGCGTGCAGCCGTGGGGGGGAGGGTATGGGGGTGGCGGGTATGGGGGTGGCGGGTGTGAGTAAACTGCTGCTCCTCCTCCTCCTCCTCCTCCTCCTCCTCCTCCTCCTCCTCCTCCTCCTCCTCTCTCCCACTGCTGCAGCTACCGCTGAGGGGGGGAGGGTGTGGGGGAGCCGAGGGAGTGGCGCTAGGGATGCAGAAGGGGGTGTGGAAAGGGGGTGTGGGACAATGAGGTTGAAAAGAGGTAGCCGCCATGAAGCCAGCAGCTCCAGTAGTCCGGATGCCGTTGCTCCGATAGCCCGTGAGCCCGTTGCTCCAGTTGCCCATGGGTCAGTTGCTGCAGCCGCTCGTCTAGCCGCGGAGCCAGTTACTCCCGTAGTCCGGATGCCATTGCTCCGGTAGCCTGTGTGCCAGCTGCTCTAGTTGCCCGTGTGCCAGCAGCTTCAGCTGCCGCCTCCTACCTCCTCTCCTCTCATAGTCCCTCCTCCTCACTTGCCCTCTCCTTCTGCTGCGCTCTGCAAGGTGTACCACTTCAGGGGGTGTCCTCCACATGGCTATTCTTGCATGCACTTAGGGGGTGTGTCAGAATATATCATATATATTTGTATAAATGCATGTACTAGCTGTAGTGTAGTTGCATAGCTGTCCTGTTTGGTGGTGCACCACTCCTTGTATGTTTCTCATCTATTTGTACTTGCAATTCTATAGTGAAGCCCTCTTTTGCTTTGGCATCTCTCTCGACACTCTCTTGCCTAGCCTGAACCCTAGGTTCTTTGTGCTAATTTATGAACCTATTTTGACACCTGGAACCATTGAAACCTTTTCAATCGATAAAAAATGTGAGATAGTTGTTGTTTGGGTGTTGTTTGATTATGCTAATGTACACAAAAGAAATAGGCACGAAAATCATCAATTGTTCATAATGTGGAACATTGTTGATAGGAGATATATTTGTGAAGAATGAGGAATGAAGAAGAGAGTGGTTGCACTAGCAGCAGCTGGCATACATATAGGAAACCCTAATTGGGTTGTACTCGCTATAGAGTACCCCACTGCAGGCTAGACAATTATAACATTCTGACAATATTCATACTATTAGTCAAGACAACACAATATCAAGATTGCAGTTCCCTCTTCGTCCAAGTGATGCTATTAGTGTTCATCGCAGTCAAGGTTCTACTTTTGACTCAGGGGTTGTCCATTTTCATCGACGTTTGTTTGTGCATACAACATACGTTGCTTTTAGCAGGTTTCCGTCAGCAAAATATATGTTTTTGGAAAACATTTCTGGTGAGTCCATTAGCGTGCACAAAGAAGTGATTAAAGAGATGAAACGTTTACGCACGTTTCAAGTACCTGTTGTTCCAGTCCCAACAAACATGATTATGGCGATTCCTTCATGATTTTTTTTTTATATATAATCATAATGTATGGAAGTTCATAGTTGAATGTATAGCTTCCACGGCTGTGCCTTTATCATTTGATTTCATAGGTTTATTTGAGACGTTCTTCAGACCAAACGCATGGCAACGTTATCTAACATCTATACGTGTTTCGACAAGATTGTGATTTTGGAGGAGTTCTAGTCGCATACCACAACGAGCTGTCAGAAACAAAAAGTGATTGCACTAGGAACATTGGTGGTACAAGTATGAAACCCTAGAGTATTGTACCCCCTAAAGGCTAACCCATTGTAGCCTACACAGCAATAACATATATAATGTTTGACACGAGCATGTGGTGGTGTTGTTTGAAAAGGTTTATGATAAAATGCAGTTCGTTGTTTTGAAGTACAAGGCATTGCCAACGACATTCGTCATTTGTGTTTATCGCAATCCTCGTTCATCTCAATCTTCTTTCTACACATATTTGCATCCAAATATTGACACAACTCCATTTGGATGTATTATTATCATTCGTGGTTTCAACTTTGATTTCGACGCATCCATTCCAAACCAATTGATCAAAATCATGAAATAATATTTTTTTACGCAACGTGTTTGAACACTAACTATATTTGAGCCAATCTTATTGATCATGTATGGCTTGACCTTGCTACGTTTAATGATGAAGTATTTGTTGGTGAAACATTTTCAGTGATCATTACCCCATATACATCCTTTTCAAGTAAGATATCGATGATTCCCTTTTATTTCTCCGATCAGGTCGACGCCCATACGATGAGAATACTGTTTCAAAGGTGAGACTGCTAAAACTTTGAGACGAAACATATGTTTCTTTGCCAAATTAATGCAATTTTTAGCACCATCAAATGTATAAATTTGGCGTGACGTTCGTAAGGGGAAGCGTCGTTGTCCTTACGAACCTCACAAATAAATAACGTGTGGCCTAAAACATGCACATGGTCCAAGGTCTACTCCTCATTTAACATGGAAACGTCACCAAAGGTCCCCTTGATTGCCCACCAACAAAATCACAACTACATCCCTCTCCCACCCCCGCTACCAACACCACCATCCTCACCACCCGCTGCTGCGTCCGTCCCTCTCCCGTCCTCCGCTGTTGCGTCCGCCCCTCTCCCCTCCTCCTCCTCCTCCTCCTCCTCCTCCTCCTCCTCCTCCTCCTCCTCCTCCTCCTCCTCCTCCTCCTCCTCCTCCTCCTCCTCCTCCTTCTCCTCGTCCTCGTCCTCGTCCCCGTCCTCCGCACCCTCGCCCTCAATAGCGATCTCCAGTGCTGCGACCCCTCTTGGGCAGCGGCCCTCACCGATCCTCTAGCCAGGGTGCGAGCCATACCATGATCTAAGAAACATGCAGGCTCGCGAGTCTCAGAGTTAGGCGGTCCCAGGAGCGCGGTTGCGGCCCAGCGAGAAGACGTGCTCGCTCGCAGTAGATGTGCCAGGGATAGCGAGATAATCCCTCGCCATCCGCTTCAACGTCTCCGTGTTGGTGGAGGTGCACCCGTACTCTAGCGCTGACATGTCGTAACGCACCCTCTCGAACAAGTACCTGCTGACCTCATCATCCTACAGAAGACCACCCCCCCCCCCCCCCCCCCTTCTCCATCCTCCTCCTCTACCACCGTGGGAAGTGTAGTGGGCCTAGGAGCCAGCTCCCTAGCCGTCGCTGGTACTCGGCCACGCGCTCACATACCAACGCGATCACCATGCTTGACGCGGGGCGCGGCCTCTCCCTCTGCTCTGTCTGTGGATGCTACTTCTCCTAGTGGGCGTCGTCGAACCACGCCGCCTTCATGGAAGGATCCAAGAAGGTGGTGATCCAGTGCTCGTTACTGCTGATGTAGGCATACTTCTTCAGAAATCTAAGCGCCTTTTCAACTAGAGGCTTTAGCGTCGCCGAGGGCCCCTTTGCCAGTCGGGCCTCCATGGTGTTGATGAGGCCGTTGTAGTATGGCACCACCATCGACACAGTCGGCTACGCCGTCCCCTCAACTGCCTTGGAGACCTTGTTGAAAGGGCTGAGAGATGTTCTCAGCTCCTTCAACACCTCCCACTGCTCGTCTGAAAGGCGCATCTTCTCCACCCTCTCCTTGTCCGCCTTCGCAGGGCCCTGTCGGGGTTAGGGTGTGGTATGGCATATGAGGGAGAGGGTTGTTATCATGATGTAATGCACTTCATGCGACCAACACCACAACACACATGCTACTATATATCGCACCATGTCCCACATGCAACACACATGCCACTCCATGCCACAATACACATGCAAGACACATGCCACACACATGCCAGACACATTCCACACCATGCCATGTCACACATGCCACTCCGTGCCACAAATCCAATGTCCTGTTCGCACCCTATACCTAGGTCGAGGCCAAGAACACAGTGATCGGATTCTCCAGCTCAAGGTAGTGGTCAATCATGGCGTGAGTCGAACCCCATCGGGTAGGACTGTCATGCACCAACTTCAAAGCTGGTTTGTTGACATGGGCCTGCAGGTTCAAGCTGCGTTGAAGTCCCAAAAACGCCACGGAGCGCTGCGGCGAGAACCCAACCCAGGACGCCATATCTCTGAGCACCTTCAACAGGTCACGAATGGCATCCACTTTCAGTCCCTTTTGCACTGCCAGGTTAACCACATGTGACAAGCACCTGCGGAGCACAGCACCATAGGCATGGGATTTGGGAGGTACTGACACATGGTCATTGCCAGCCGTGGGGGATTCCAAAAACCCCAAATACACCCACACACCTACAATGCTGACTCTGACAAGCCACCGCGATAACACCCATACACCACCTCATACCTGAAGTGCAGGCGGGAGTTGAAGAAAGCCCGACCACCACCCTCCTCCGACAGCCACATGAATGCGGCAATGTTGGCCGAGGCATTGTCTGAAGTCAGGCCCAGACAACGCCCCTCCAACCCCCACATCACCACCGTGTCCTCCATGACCTGCGCGATTTGCACCGCTCCATGACGATCCGGCAGCTTGCAAAACTCCAGCACTGCCTCGCGTAGCTGAAACGACTCGTCTATTCAGTGACCTGTCACAACTAGCCAAGCCTTCCCGTTGGGTGTAGTCCAGATGTCGATGGTGTATGACACCTTGCATCCCAACTCCCCCCTCTTCCCCAGCCGCAGCAAAAGCCACAGTGTCGCGTGCAACCGTCCAGCGCGAGGGTATGAAGTTCTTCTGCCCGCAGTGGTGGTTGCACAGGGTCAATAGCTCCCAAAACTGGTGGGGTGGGTGGGATAGTACACAACGAGCATGCGTTGGGTTTCGCAGCACTGCTCAAGAATGGAATGGAAAGGAGAGGCGTAAGTGTCCCAACCCAACTCCCCTCCCTAACATCATGCGCTCGCCATACATATAATCCATGCAAACCGCCCTGGACGAGCCAACCACACCACATCAGCCACACCCAGTAGCATTAAGCCCTTACCGCCTCAGCCTCCACACTTTTGAAGGGAAGGGCGCAGGTCATCACCAACTTGGCGATTGTCTGACGAAGCTCCACTTCTGATAGCTTCTTTGATATGTAGCTCTTGATCCCAGCACTGCCTGACCCCTCCGCCCCTCACCCCTCTGCCTTTCCTCCCTTCTTTGGGATGTTAGGCAGCTTTCTGCATGCGGCCAGTAATATACGTAGCCATTCGGCACTCCAACGTAGGCCCCCGTCGAAAACGTCTCGTCCGGCAGTTGCAAATGTAGATGGTGGTAATGGTGATACCACACATCTATATGAGCAATGTGGTCGTTTTCAAAGTGGCGCTCGCCTGGTGTAGTTGTAGATCCCTTCCAAGAAATATGGTCAGTGCAAATCTTGCATTGCCGCTTGTCGTCGGTCCCCTTGCCCCTCTCCCTGCTACTCTTGGACTCTCCCTCCTCGTCAAGGAACTCTGGAGCAACCACACCCTCGCCCGAATCCACCCCTCTGAAGGTTCGTGTCCGCAACTTCTCTGCTTTCCTCTTCTGGTTCCCAATTAACAACCTCCTTCGCCCAACCTTAACACCGCCGCGCACCCATCCTCTACCCACGTGCTGAGAGGCCTCCTCTGCGGCGGCCGCGGCAACCCCTCCTCCCTGACCAACCCCCTCATCCACCCCGTCTGGCTCCAACCCTTCCATCTCCCCATCTTCATCTCCCCCCCCCCCCCCCCCCCGTCCCCACAACTGCCATGCGTATCCGGTGTCCACCCCGGCTCACTATCATTTCTGCTCCCCTCCTCTTCCTCTCCTCCTCCTCATCATCCCCCTCATCGCCCTCCTCCTCCTCCTCGTCCGCCTCACTGTCGCTCTGAGTTGTGGTGCGCGTCTGCCCAGAAGGAGGGGGTCGAGGACTCGAGTAACAGAACGACTGACAGGATGTCGGCGCGGGCATGGACAGAAGCCTACCGACGAAGTAAGCACCAACTCCTCCAGGGCCGTCACCTACTCGACCCTGCATAGGTCGTGGTGCAGGCGATGGTGCACCGCCCTGACTACTGCGACCACCCCGCCCTGCACTAGGTTGTTGGTGGGAAGCCATTTCCCGCGACGGCCAAAGAAACCTATGTCAGAATATTATAGCTTACTTATTTGTGTAGGCTATAGTGGGGTATCCCATAGGGGGTACAACCCAACTAGGGTTCCCTATTTGTACTCACTTCGTTCATAGTTCACTCATTCTCGTTCACACTTTCTCATGGAATCAGAGCAGGTCCCTTCTTAGGGCCTGTTCCTAGGGCCCACCGAAGCGCGCCCCGAGGCGCGCATTTTTTTTTAGCGACCCTCCGTGTCGCCCTCCTCGTCGTGCTCCCGCTTAGGCCTCACGTCGGCCCCACGTCGGCCCTGCTTAGGCCCCACGTCGGCCCCGCTTAGGCCCCTCGTCGGCCCCGCGTAGCCCCGCTCAGGCCCGTCGGCCCCGCTTCGGCCCCGCGTCGGCCCCGCGTAGCCCCGCTTAGGCCCGTCGGCCCCGCTTCGGCCCCGCTTTGGCCCCGCGTCGGCCCCGCCTATACCCCGTCGGCCCCGCGTTGGCCCCGCTTAGGCCCCACCGGTCCGCCTAGGCCCCACTACGGCCCGCCGTTGGCCCCGCTACCGCCCGCACCGGCCCCTGCTGCAGCCCGCCGCCGGCCCAGCTACAGCCCGCCGCCGGCCCACCTACAGCCCGCCGCCGGCCCTGCTACAGCCCGCCGCCGGCCCCGCTATAGCCCGCCACCGGCCCCTGCTACAGCCCGCCGCCGGCCCTGCTACAGCCCGCCCCGGCCCCGCTACAGCCCGCCGTCGGCCCTGCTACAGCCCGCCGCCGGCCCCGCTATAGCCCGCCGCCGGCCCACCTACAGCCCGCCGCCGGCCCTGCTACAGCCCGCCGCCGGCCCCGCTATAGCCCGCCACCGGCCCCTGCTACAGCCCGCCGCCGGCCCTGCTACACTGAGGACTACGCTCGCGGCACTTGGGTTTGCTCCTTCTACTGCCGACCCGTCGCTGTTTCTGCGCACCGACACCTCTCTGCCGCCGTTCTACATCCTCGTGTACGTCGACGACTTGGTCTTTGCCACAGCTGACACTGCTGGACTCGCCTACGTGAAGTCCGAGCTGCAGAAGAGACACACGTGCACTGACCTGGGTGAACTGCGCAGCTACCTTGGCTTGCAGATCACCCGGGACAGAGCACGCCGCACCATTACCCTGACTCAGTCACACATGGTGCAGCAGGTCCTTCAGCGCTTCGGCTTCACGTACTCCTCGCCTCAGGCCACTCCTCTGCCTACTCGCCACTCGCTCTCAGCTCTGCCTTCGGATGAGTCCGTAGAGTCGAGTGGCCCGTTTGCAGAGCTTGTTGGCTGCCTCATGTACCTGATGACCTGCACACGACCTGACCTCGCATACCCTCTTAGCATTCTCGCACGCTTTGTTGCTCCTGGGAGACACCGACCAGAGCACATGGCTGCAGCGAAGAGGGTGTTGCGCTACTTGTGCAGTACGTCGGGCATGGGGCTAGTGCTTGGAGGGCGCAGTCCAGTGGTCCTCACTGGGCACGCAGACGCTTCTTGGGCTGACGACCAGGCTACGCAGCGGTCGTCACAGGGTTACACCTTCAGCCTTGGTTCCGGCTCTGTCTCGTGGCGGGCTACCCGCTCGTCTTCTGTTCTCGGCTCCAGTTGTGAGGCTGAGATCTACGCTGGGGCTATGGCTGCACAGGAGTTACGCTGGCTCACCTACCTGCTGACCGACCTTGGAGAGCAGCCTCGTTCTCCTCCAGTCCTGTACGTAGACAACAAGGCCATGCTGGCCTTGTGTCGAGAGCAGCGACTGGAGCACAGAACGAAGCACATTGCTCTCCGCTACTTTCTTGCTCGTGAGCTACAGCAGCGTGGACAGCTGCGACTTGCGTACGTGGCCTCTGAGGCCAACACTGCTGATGTCTTCACCAAGGCCCTTGCGCCTTGTGATCATCAGCGTTGCTGCACGCAGTTGGGTCTTGTGCCTGTCTTGCCTCACTTGCTCTCCTCTTGACCTTGCTTGTACCTTCGCATATATATACTCTTGCTCTTGCTTGCTTGACTCTTGTATACCTCTATATATGATCTTGCATGTGAACTGGCCTTGTGGCCTTTGAACTTGTGCTCGGAATGCGTGGTGACTTTGTGATCCACCCTGAGCTTTGCTTTACTTTGCTTGACTGGTCTTGTGACCCCTTGTTCTCCCCCACTTTGCCTATGGGGGTGTGTCAGAATATTATAGCTTACTTATTTGTGTAGGCTATAGTGGGGTATCCCATAGGGGGTACAACCCAACTAGGGTTCCCTATTTGTACTCACTTCGTTCATAGTTCACTCATTCTCGTTCACACTTTCTCAACCTACACCCTTGATAGAATGGTAATGCGGCGGCGAGTTGTGGGGAGTGTCACTTTGATGGAAACCCTAACGATGGAGTGCCCTTCAACGGTGGAAACCCTAATCGATATTCCGCTACTTTAACTTACGTGCTCGGAGTAGTTGCTGGCTACTTTCTATTAGTAAGTGTTGTAATCAACTCTCCTAGCCTAAGAGTTGAAGCATCTTCCCTACTAGGCTAGTAGTAGGTGATGGTGTGGCAGGTGGTAGAGGGCGGGCTGGTGGCAGCGATTGCAACATGGTCACATGTTGAAATGAATCAGTTGAAATGAATTGGCCGCGACCCTAAATTTGGTCGCGGCCAATTCGTCGACGGACACCGAGGTGTTCATCGATGTGTTCGTGTTCGACGCACCTCGGCATATCAACATGGACGAACACCGAACATGTTCGCACGAACAACGAACGCGTTGGTGTCGAACATTTTTGGGCAAGAAAAATACATGTTCGAGGCGAAACAAACGGGTGTTCGGATATGTGCTCATCCCTAATGCCAACCATCCTCCCGTGCTCTCTCTTCCTCTTTTCGCCCTTGTACCCGTGTCTCAACTCACGAGGGCATATGACGCCATCACACAAACCTTCTCCCCGTGCTTTGTGTTCCTCTTTCCCTGCCTGCAGCCGCCTCTTAGCATATAGGCAACAAGACAGCGTATGACGCCATCATGTCAGCCTTCCTCCTGTGGTCTTTCTTCCCTCCTTGTACCCCTCTCTCAGCTCACGAGCAGCAAGAGGGCATACAACACCATCACGTAACCCTCCTCCCGTGCCCTTTCCTCCCCTTGCCCCCCAGTTACCATTCTCTCATTTCACAGGTAGCAAGTGGGCGTATGACGCCATCACGCAATCCTTCCTCACATGCTCTTTCCTCCCCTTTCCCCTCCTATCCCATTTTTTATATATTTAACTACAGCCTCCAAAGGTTGCCACCTTCACGTTGCTGTTGAAGCATCTGAAAGGTCCTGAGCTAACAAATGTCATGGTATGTAGAATGGTGGTGGACGTTCGACCTCCTGATGTTGACCGGCCAATTATCCTGTGAAGCTGTTTCTGCTAGGTTTTGAGGGTGTTGTTATGGAGCTGATATTTTGGGCTGAGATGAAAGGTGTTTTTTTGTGGACTCTTTCCTCCCCCTTCATATCCCATTTTTTATGTATTTAACTCTAGCGTCCAAAGGTTTGCCACCTTCACGATGCTACTGGGGCATTTGAAAGGTCCTGAGCTAACAAATGTCATGGTGTGTGGAATGATGGTGGGCGTTCGACCTCCTTACGTTGACCGGCCAATTATCTTGCGAAGCTGTTTCTGCCAGACTCTGAGGGTGTTGTTAAGGAGCTGATATTTTAGGCTGACATGAAATGTGCTTTTTTCGTGGACTCTAGGGAAGTGCCGTACAATAGTGGGGGAGTTTTTTCTTGGAGCCACGTATGATATATGCTCTGTGAAAATCAATTGCGCCAAAGATCACAAGTGAGTTTATAACCAGAAATTTGATTGTCTATGTATGTTCATATCATTGTCTGTTTGCATTGGTTTTTCTACTGCAAATTTGCATAGCATTCTTTATCATTTCTTTATGCATCTTCATTAATGCAACAATTGTGTCATTCAATTTGTCTATGTTTTTCATCTCAATGTTTTTTTATTCGTATTTGTCATCTTGACTTGTTTTTCTATCATATCTAAACAACATTGTTGTCGATGTTCCTCTCCCTATTCTTCACAACATTATTGTCGTTGTTGTCATGTTTCTTAGAAATCACCAACAACTTCATCAATTGTTGTAACCTTTTTCATTTCTTAAACAGTTATCGCCCCACATGCGTTATCTAGGTTTTCCGTTGGTGGGCTGGAAGGGGTGTTAACTTGGGAGCATCGTAAATCACATGCCCGCTTGACGGCGAAGGAAAATAGCATTCCTCTCAGTGCATTCACACCTACGACTCCTCAATTTCTATTTTCATCCAATCCGGTCGCATCGCTTCAGGTTTGTTAAAATAAGTATGTTTTACCACCTTTTACCACCTCAGTTTTTATCATAGTATGCCACAACAAAAAATCTGTCTTTACTGAACCCACATTTTTGTTCTACCACAATCATGCATCGCTTCGTCTGTTGTTAAATGTAGCATTACACGATGTCTTGTCCTTGACATGTACACGTCTTTTCCTCCCCTTTTCCATCATGTACCTCTCTCAGCTCAAAGGCAGAGGGTAGGCGTATGATGCCATCACCTCAACCTTCCTCCTGTGCCCTTTCCTCATTTCCCCCCTGTGTACACGTCTCTTAGCTTATGGGTAGCAAGATGGCGTATGGCGTCATCATGCCAACATGGTCTCTCCTCCCTTTCCTCCCTCTATACCCGTCTCTCAGCTTACGGGCAACAAGAGGGCGTGTCACGTCATCACTCCAACCATCCTCCCATGCTTATTTCTTTGTTTTTCCGGCCTGCACCCTTGTCTCAGCTCACGGGCAGCAATAGGGAGTATGACGCCATCACGCCACCCTTCCTCCCGAGCTCTTTCTTCCCCTTTCCCACCCTGTAACCCTCTCTCAACTCACAGGCGGAAAAAAACGTATGAGGCAATCACGTAAACCATCCTGTAGTGTCATTTCTGCCCCTTTCCCCTCCTGAACCCGTCTCTCAAC